ATTCCTGCAGCCGCATGTGAACAGGCTGGCAGAAACCAAGCAGGCTTTCCCTGTAGAGGGGAAAAAGCCAATCGCTCCTGCAAGCTCCCGTGGATTTACCATGGTAAAGTTCAGAGATGTGGCACTGTGGCAAAAGTTTAAGAAATGGTAAGATTAATGGAATGTTAATTTAAATGGTTGCTTTGTTGTCCTTTCAGCATCATTTGAACTGTTGAAATACTTTGTTTTGCTTTAAGTAAAAGCAAAAGGCAAATATATTGAAAGGTTAAGGGAAGGAAATATTCCTGTCATTGGAGCAAAGAGTGAAATTCCTGGACTTAATGTGAAGAAGCATGAACTGCCTGTAAGTAAGAACATACTATTTTGTTTTGACTTCTAAAACATAGACTTCCCTAAGAGAGAATGGTTTTTAAGTGTTGAGTACAATTTTCTGTTAGTGCCAGCCACTCTGTAAGCATATTATAAATGGTGACAAGCAGATCTGAAAATTGGAGTCTAGCCTTTTCAGCGCTCACACTTGAAAATGTTGCCCAGTATTATTTTAAGTTCTGATCATCTGTGACAGGATGCAGCTGCTTTCCCATCACTGTACAGTGACCTGATCTAGTTTTATTGTGTCTGAGAAAAGTGAGCATAAATCTGAACCTAATACTGGGCATATTAGAAAAGGTCTTTGTTTGTATAATGGTATATTGGGAAAATATGAAGACTACATTAAAAGCAGAGGGGTACCACAAGAGGGTGCCATTTCTTTGATTTTCATAGCTACTAAACTTTTACAGTTCTGACGAGTCGCTTGGTCTGAAGAGGTGCCTAGTCTCTGAAATTTGAGGGTGTTAAAAATCAGCCAGACATGCCTGTCTCTTGCACTTAGCTTTGCCTCTGGGTCTTCAGCTTGCACCTTGGCTCTCAAAATAAACAGGCTCTGAATTGAGACGCTAAAACTGGTTAACTGCCTGGTAATGTCCCTCCAGGTCAAGAACAAACAGGAAAAGACCGCTTTTGGGTGGGTGTGTTAATGTCTACAATCCCAAATCTGTATCTAAGAATGCCCGCTTTCAGTCAGATAATGCCCATTTATTGCACTGATCTAAGCACAGTAGTTTGTCTAGTAAACCACAAAGCCCTTACTACTCATACAAAATGAGAACAAAGACAAACATTTTTCAACTAGCTATCCAGGTAAAAATCACACCAAAGATGCTTTGAAACATGAGTTTTGCTTCTAAAGGAGTTCATTCATCATCCTAGAAATAAAAAATTGCATGACACACTAAAAATAATCCATGTGCAGTGGCACATGGGGATGACTCCGTTCAGACATGACTCGAATCTTTCTTACAGAAACTATCTGCAGTTTTCATTAAGTTAAGCTAAAAAGGCACCTCTTGTGTAACAAGGCATAAAGAACTTTTTAAAAAACACTTTGGCAATAAAAAAGGATTTTAACCTTAAATCCTGTGAGTTAGGTAACAAATTGGATATTTGGAATTTTCTGATCACAAAAAAAAGATGTGAAAAATGTATACTAGAAATAGTTTGATCTTAAGCTTTAAAGCAGTTGGATGAACACCTATCCGTAAGCATACATTGGACTGGACATTGGCTGAGGTGGAAGACTTCTCACAGAAAAGGGAAGTGAAGGAGCAGGTCCAACTGGGAAAAAGTAAGTTATGTTTTCTAAAAGAAGGAAACATCTTACCAATCTTGTATTCAGTATCTTAGATCACTGGTTGACTCAATCTCCACTGCACTTCAGTGGGAATGCTTTGTACATGAAAGATGCAGTCCAGAGCCAATATGATACCCCTTATACTTTATTTCTAAAGCTTTCCATACAATTATATTTTGTGTATTGTCTCACCGCCCCTACCTTTCTTCTCACATTTTTCAGCTTGGTGTTCAATGCATACAGTAAGAGTTCACGAAAGCTCTCATGAAGTCACCAGTGCCCTGGTGAGGTTAGCAGGGACACAAACACAGAAGCTACAACTTGCTGAAAATCTGGCAGTGAGACAGTGGTGGTATCAGGCACAGAACTTCATTATGCATGTTCCTGCCTTTTATACTTCTAGAAAAATAAATATGTTGTTTCTAACAAAGCTGTAAATTATTTCATCACTTAATAGCAAATGTGCCCATCTCCATGTTTGAGAGAGTAAAAATTAAAATGAAGAAATTAAATTACTGTGTGTGACCCTTGGCAAGGTTTTCAAAAGCAGGCTCTTCATAAAATGGGGGTTTTAACTTCATATGGTGAAGGGTTTAAAAAGTTGACAGTTTGTAAAAATTTCATCTTACGTCTTTTACAGAGCCATGATAAAAATACCAACAGTAGTAAACCAGCTCTTAACATTGCAATCAATTTAAATATCAGGAAAAATAAGTTGTTTTGATTTAATAATCAATGTAATAATTAAAATGCTGTTTCATACCCCTGATATCCTTACGGGAATTTCTGTATGTGTAATTCAGAAACTTACTCCAGAAAAGCCTCACCCTGAAAAATGGCACGCTCAATCTCCAGCACTATTTCAGGGAGAGATTTTTCTAGACTGACAGTAATAAAGCGTTCTGGCGCTCTAGGAGGCTCCAGAGTATCAAACTGAGACTTGAGAAGTTCAGGTGGCATAAAATGTCCTCTCCTCTTCGCCAGGCGGCCAGCAATGATGTCTATAGGCCCATCCAAATGAACAAAGAGGATCTTCAGTGCCGCGTTTTCTCCTGGTTGCTCTGGCTGGTTGCTTTCAATTGCAGATGCTCCACTAACTAATACACGCCTATACATCTTCTTCAGTGCAGAACAGGCCAGAATTGCATTTTCTCTAGATGAGTCTTCTCTATCAAAAAGAAGAAAAAAAAATACATCCACACCTGGTATAACAAAATGGCTCATTGGTTCTGCTGAACAAGGGAGACAAGCCCCGGATCCTTGCAGAGGACAGCCTTGGGAGTAGTGGCATTTTTTCGTCATTTTGACAGGATTTTGAAATAATTTCCAATGCAGGTAAAGATGTGATTTGAAAGTGAGGTCAGGCTAGCCAGCCTCCTGGTAAAATCTCAATCCTGGGGACCTTCTTTATTAGCCACTGTTCTTTCCTAAATTAAATTCAATTCTAAGCACAAGGAAGCGTCATGATCATTTCCTTAATGGCTGAGAACAGCAGGAACTGAACATCCACACAAACTCCCATCCCTTATCTATAAAATTATTGTACTAATCTGTCTAGAGAGTAAGCGACCGCTGAACAATACAGAGCTCTGTTCTTAAATACAGTATGCAGGTATACTTCCAACACCTGTTTTCACTGTCTCAGATTTAACTGTAATGTTAAGTTTTGTTTCCTGTAACCATACTCATTGGCAGCGCTGCATATATGCCCACTTCAACTTAAAAAGGGATTGGATGCAGGTAAATTAATGCCTTGCACGTTTATTTTTTAATGGTAAGGTTTTTTAAAATAAAGCAAGCATTAAACTATGGGTGTGTCTGTCCACCGAAAAGCCAATCCAGAGATAGTTGTCTCTATGAAGACTGACTGAAATGTCTGCCTAGGAAAATACATTCTGTAATCACATTAAAATTAGGTATAAACCTATTTAAAAATCATGCTATGTTCATCAGATTTTGGTTCACAGGAAAACAAGAACTTGTAATACCTACTATTATCACCTAGGTAAGCCAATGCCAGCCTCAGCTACTTAGAAGTACTAGTAATTCAACATTGGCGTTAGGCTCTTTTAAAGTATACTTGATTTTGCAAAGTTTCTGGAGCTGGGCAGTGGCCTTGGGCTAGCATGTAACATTTAGCCTGGAGGAGGCTGAGGGGAGACCTCATCATGCTCTACAACTACCTGAAAGGAGGTTGTAGCGAGGTGGGGGTTGGTCTCTTCTGCCAAGTAACAAGCGATAGGACGAGAGGAAATGGCCTCAAGTTGCGCCAAGGGAGGTTTAGACTGGAAACATTTCTTTACTGAAAGAGTGGTGAGGCCTTGGAACAGGCTGCCCAGGGAAGTGGTGGAGTCACCATCCCTGGAAGTATTTAAAAGACGTGTAGATGAGGTGCTTAGGGACATGCTTTAGTGGGCATGGTGGTGTGGTTGGACTTGGTGCTCTTAGAGGTCTTTTCCAACCTTAAAGATTCTATGATTCTATGATTCTATAAAGCAATGGATCCAGCATAACAATCCAGATAGATGAATTTCTCAGTAAATTAACCCATGCTCCAGTGAGGTATGTTCACCTGATGTGCACAAGCAAGTAACAGCCACTGTGTAAAGCCAGGCTAAACAATCCCTGCTCTCCCAGCCTTTCCTCATTTGGGAGATGCTCCGATCCCTTCATCATCTACGTGGCCTTCCTTGGGCGCTCTCCGGTATGTCTATGTCTCTCTCATAACGGGGAGCCCAGAACTGGACACAGTTCTCCAGATGCGGCCTCACCAGTGCCGAGGAGAGGGGAAGGATTGCCTCCTTTGACCTGCTGGCAAGACTTTGTCTAATGCAGCCCAGGGTATCGCTGGCCTGCGTTGCCAGAAGAGCACATTGCTGGCGTACGTTCAACTTGGGTGTCCACCAAGGCCTCCCCCCAGGTCCTTTACTGCAAAGCTGCTTTCCAGCTGGATGACCCCAGCGTCTGTACTGGCTGCTGGGGTTGTTCCTTCCCAGGGGCAGGACTTTGCACTTCTCAAACTGCATGAGGTTCCTGTCAGCCCATTTCTACAGCCTGTCAAGGTCCCTCAGGATCAGCCACTCCTCCCAGTTTGGTGTGATCTGCAAACTTGCTGAGGGAACACTCTGCCCCATTGTCCGGATCATTAATGAAGATGTTAAACACGACGATACCCAGTATTGACCCCTGGGATACACGGCTAGTTACTGGCTTCCAGCTAGGCTTCGTGCCACTGATCACCACCCTCAGTGCCTGGCTGTTCAGCCAGTTTTCAATCCACCTCCCTGCCTGCTCATCCAGCCGATACTTCCATCAGCTTCTCATACTTCCATCAGCTTCTCTACGAGGATCCTATGGCAGATGGTGTCAAGCAAATTTGACACCATTATCTTACTCAAACTAACAGTATTTCACAAAATTTTATCCTACTGTCATTATCGGTGTATTTTGTGGTTATATCCTTTGTAAGTAGCTAATGTCAGGTTTGTTACTGAACTGGACCCTTGAAATTATTTTTACATAGACAGTAGAAAAATAAGTATCATTGGCAAAAACTTTAGAAACACTATTATTCAGGGATTATCTCACCCTCAGCAATTATTATGACAGCTTAGATTAGTGAAGAGACCTGCAGAATGTTTTTACACTACCACATAGATTTCTGCTTTGGAATGCAACGGGGAAAATATTTTCGGTACTTTTTCTGTCTTTAGCCCAAACTCCTTACAGCTAGATGTTCTCTTACCTCCTTAGTATATCATGCAATGCACAAAGCCAGGGAATCCTGTCCTAGAAAGAAAAGAAGTCAGTTCAAAATTGTTTATGAAACTGATTTGAAACAAGTGCTTCTAACATCTAGAGCATTTGACTAGAGATGAAAATTAGCATTAAACTGTACAGCAAGTTCAGTTTTGATTCTCTTTCTTCCTAATGTAGATTTGCTACCACTGCCTGAAGGCTAATGAGAAGTGCTAGGCATATTACTAATAAGATGTTTTTAGTGGAATTGTACTTTTTATATTACAGATACCTACAAGTATCTGATGGAAGTAATATGTATTTACGTGTTGCATGCACCTTGTACACCTTTGAAGGACAGTCAACTTCTCTCCTGTTTCCATTATACAATTCAAATGTACAGCCTGAATTGTTTTTTTCTTTTTTTTAATATCTTGGCATACACACACAATGCTTTGGATCAAAGTTGAGGTTTTCAGAAACAGACAGGTCTAAATTTAGTTATCTGCAGTAACTTAATTATGTCATTTTTATGTCAGTAGCAATCACAAATAAAAGTAATCATAGCCACAATTTTGCAACACCTTTGCTCAGCAGTTAGGCAAACACAATATGAGTGATTGATCACCTTCTCATTATAATCTTATTTTAAATTTTAAGCTCCCACAAACTTTTGTCATACCTATTGAGCACTAAATAATTGCTCCCATTTAATCTTTCAATGCTGTTACTGCTGGGTGACCACAACAAATGATAATGTGGACAAATAAATGCAACATTTTTTTGTTACTGTCATTACAGAGTAACTTGAATGCCCTCACCATTTTGCATCTCTGGTGTTTCAGAAGAGATGCCTCCCTCTTGCTGGGCACCATACACCAGTGGTTTAGTCATTCAGTTGTGCAATGCTGCTTTAGACGACATACTGGCTTATATGAAGTTCCAACCACCCGCGAAAGATAGAAGTTTTTAACAAGAATCTAGAATATTTTTTTTCAGTCTATAGAGAGTGCTTTGAAGAACTCCCTAATTCAGCTTTATGTTTCGAGAGATTTCCCAGAAAAAGTTCAAGAGATGTCATCTTGTAACTTTTCTAATTTTCTCAAGTCTGAATTTGTAAGTATTGTAAAACTAAACTTGGTCATTTTTATCTGTTTAGGCTGAAGAAGAGGCTGAAGGGAAGGAAGCGCACTTTAAGTAGGAGCATAGAAAACAGAAGATTGTGGAGTAATCACTGCAGTAACTGAAAGTGATGAAATGTACTTCAGTAGAAACATTTGTCTTCATGTATTTAACTCAAAGCAGCAGCATGTGATCTCAAGCTGCAATTCTGTATATTGATGTACAGGGAAAGATTTCTGAGTCGGCACCAAACCCCTTGTGAGCTACCAAGCAGACTTTGATAAACTATTATTTTATGCAGGATCCTTTGTAACACGAAAAGCTTCCCCCTCTTACCACCTGCAGACCTATACATTCAGCCTACGCTTACAGTCAGCCTCGTCTACACAAAGCACAGTCTACTCTCACACGATGTGCCAGGGGTTACAAAGATAAACGTGTCGACGAGTGTTCTTTCAGGGTTTATACAAGGTACCTCATCATTTAGTGGTATCCCTTCTGCCATCTTCTTTTTATTCTCTGGAGAATGATAATCGTCTGCATCGTAGAATTTCCACCCCAGCTAAGAAAAAAAAAGTAAAATGACGGATCATTCAGCCAAACCAGGTGAGCTAACAATAAGGATCCCAGAATTTATAAAGCTGACACCTAAGAAATTACAGGCCCCTTACACCGCAGCACGAATCACCATTCACGTCACGGCCATTAGCAAAAATTTCG